TTCGGTTTTTAGTGCAGCTCCCGCCCTGCTTTAATACATTTTGGCCGATAGAGCTGTGAGTATTTGGATCCCCAATTCTTGTCACTCAACTATTAACAAAACTACTCTAAGTTTTCAACAAATATTTTCCGAGAAAGATTATGACCCTAAAGTTCAGACATGCCGAAACCCATTTTATACCTTCCATTATGTATTATACAGGTTGGAAATTTTTAGCTTTTTGGTTAGGACAACTGTATACAATTACCTTGGGAACTAGTGTTACTCAGAGATTCATGAAAAGCACTCTTCTTCTAAGACAGCAACTTCTTCTTGAGAAAGTAAAAGTTCCTCAACATCACTACTTCTTTTACATCTCTTGGAAGTAACCGAGGAACTTGCTCCACATTTCAGATATGTTTGCAAGTCCAACACCTTAAAATTTTGTGAAAGAACAAAACAAAGATCCTTGACTCTTTGCAGCCAAAGCGAGAAAGGGAAACCGAGGTAACCAACATACGCTGCGACAACCGTTTTAATTTTTTAGCAAGCTTTAAAGTTTCACCTGCCCAAATTAAGTAATGACGGTACTACATGTTGCCAGGTATACTTCAATTTTAAGGCACAAAGGCGAGGGGAATCAGAAAGTCCCGCTACGGCTTAGTGGCTCAACAAGACATGAACATTCTTCTTGGAATTCAGCAACTGTTCACTGTTCAAATCACCAAAAATGTTCCTCAGCCGATCAATATCGTAACGGCAATAAAGTACTCGAACCAAAACTCGACTTTTGCTAATCACCATATTAATAAACTCGTGATAAAATGAGGGCAATGCAGGCAGTTGATAAAAAACCAATGACTTTATGGCCTGCAAAGTGTGGAGAATGTTAAGGAAAAAAAAACGCCCCATTATATGCAGTATTAGAGGGAGGATTGAGTATAAAATAGTTTGAAAAATTCGCGGAAAACAGCTTTACCTTGATGTGATAACGTCGGAAAAAATGAAAACGTTCGGTAAGGAGCATAAGTTTCCTTTCGCCATAAAAGAACAGTTCTCGTGCCTTGGCAACCTAAATCGCAAAATTCACACGATTGAAATAGTTCAATCTTTCGCCGGTCGAAAAAAAATTAAATCTCTTATTTTTCACTGGTTAGTCAGGACGGTTTTCAATCTTTAAGAATTACTACTTAAAACCCAGCAAAAATTTTAAAGAAAAATCCACACCTTTCCTTGCTTAGCATATTCACTCAGTTGTACAAAACTGTCATTTTCTTTCTTCAGATGATTTCTTATTTTTACAAAGTCAAAGTATGACGGTATAAACACCAAGGTACCTGTTTCACAAGCTGGAAGGATTTTCTCCTAAAATATAAAATGTCTCAAAACATGAGGAAAGAGTCACTGTCTTTTAAAATCATTTCAAAAGTGGAATCTAACTTTAAAAAAGTTGAACCGACTCTCAGACTGATCTTCCGGATTATCAACCACAAATTTCCGAAGCTCCTGAGACACAGGAACTTCAATCTGGAAGATGAACGTAATTAGAACGACAAAGCAAGCAAAGAATAGAAAGATAAGGAAAAGAAACTATATGATCCTAAGAACCTCTGAAAGGAGTCCAACAGATGATGGCTGCAGACGATAAAAACCAGCAAAGTTACAACACTGTAAGGCAAATATCGCGCGACATTCTGTCAGCTGTACCGAGGAAGATATTATAGTTTGCCTTAAAAGAGTTTTTCAGCAACAGAAGGATGAGGAAATTTAAAATATTTATAAATCCAACATATAACAGCAGTAGCCTATTGAAAGACTATAACAAAAAGCGGGAATTAAACTTCATTTTAAAAAAGATGGACCCAACAAAACTTTAATTTCACCAGCCCCTTAACCAAAAACATTCAATTCAAAAATTCAATCAACTGTATAAGAATCGTTTTTGAAGAATCCAATCAACTGTATATAAAACTGAAATGTAATATTTTAGCAAGCTTAACATGCTCATGCAAAAAGTGCCCGGAGAGTCCTCTACAGATGTGAAGAAATAAACGCAATATCCCGGCTGAAGTTTGAATCAACAATAAGATAGTGGAAAATTGATTTTATGACCAATAAAGATCTCGTCTCGCCCTACCTATATAAACTCGCTTGTTGTTCGAGAGACCACTGACGAACCCTCGATATGTCCACAGTGATCTTTTCAGGAGTAAGATTAATACTATTAACAATCAGTAAAAGTTGCTCCCAGTTCTGCATGAGAATGATTTCTGCCTGAACGACAAAAATAAATTTTGAAAACAACGACAGCAGTAACACACATACCTTATCTATAATTAAAATTTCAATTGAAGAAAGGAAACCAATTTCCCGATTCTCTTCTGACTTATCACCAACAATCACGCGTAAGCCCAGTGGAGAAGCAATTATAATATCAGATTTTTCAAATGACGAGTAAAGTCTTAAACCCTTTTTAGTAACTGCTACACCTATCCTAAAGCAGTCGTCATTATTTCCCGACATTAATTCTTTATACTCGTCACACACCTGAAAAAAGCAAATTAACACATTACAACTTATAAAACAGCAGAACAGTGAAAAGAAGACCAAAAACTATATACAAAAGTGCTTGAAAAGTAGCTCCTAAAAGATAATTTACCGATACTAGTTTTTATATAAAACTATTAAACAAAATAAAGCTTACATTTCTGTCCTTATGTATTCTATAGCCATTATCACCAAATTCTGCCTTAAACCTTTTGGCGTTCGCTACAAAACCTTTTGATGACTCCCCAAAAATCAGTTTACGAAAACAGTCTATGACAGCAAATGCGTCTTTTCTCATCGGGCACAATATCAATACTTTCGGCCTCGAAAACCCTTGATCGCGAGCCCGCTCAATTTCTTCTTCATTAATAATGCCCTAAAAAGTAAAACTCAAAGAATTAAACTTTCTTCCGTGAAACAATGCAAGAATGTGGTTAGCAAAGTGAAGCAAAAAATAAATCGCTGTCCTCCAGGCTTTGCAAAAACGGCTTTCGAGTCTAAGTCAACAAACCAAAAAAAGAAATATAAGAATAGCAAAAACCTTGCTGCGAAGATTATCCAGCCTTTCATTATTAGAAATCACCATATTTTTGGTTTTAACTGTGTGATTAAGAACATGTAGGCAGTACAAAATCTGAAAAACGTTGAATCTACTTCCAAAAATTTCCTGTAGCCTTCTTTCCACTTTATAAGGAAATTGTCAAGTGAGGAAAGAAAAATTATAATTGTAACTATACACATACAATGTGATGTGGGTTGCTGGGAGTGATATATAAATCTTTATATCTTGCCATGATGTTAAAAAGATAGTTCTGAGTAACAGAAGCTGGTCCACCATTCAAAAGTCGAAAATTCTCTAGAAGTTTCGCTGACAACCCGAAGTTTTCAAATGGTCTAACAGTTATTTCACCGCAGGGGAAGTCTGAACTGCGCTGCTGGCATTGCACATGTCCAAATCCCTATACATTTTAATCTTTAGAACTTTTATCAAGAAGCTGCAGGAAATGGTCCAAAAATACCAAACGAGATACTTCTACAAGCAAAGATGAAGATGGCTCTGGACCGAAATGTGGTTCTAAAAGAGCTTTTGCGACCACAGAATCGAGTTTGTAATTAAAGTGGGACTCGAAAAAATCCTCCTCCTTTTCCTTTTTACCCGAAACAGCTTCGAAATCCACAGCTTTCCGTTTTGTTGCCATCCTGTAAATCATTTGCCATTGAAGTACTCTTACCATTGGCAAATCAACAATACCAAACAGAAGCATTGTAGCAACCGTTCTTTAACCATACGAACGTGAAGAACTAGAGACATTCCCAACAGTTTTAAAACAACTTTGAAGACCTAAACAAGTGCACAACGTTGGTTCGCCCCCAAGTCATGGGAGCTATCAGTAACAAATGCAGAATTATTACCCCGTCACCACATCCACACCGAGACCTTAGCGTCAAAGTAAAGTATCTAAGTTGCCAATTACGCTCCAAAGAATTCATGCTTCAACCACCCTGCGGTAACAAACAATCCCTTTCCCAGTATTCCATACAGTCAACAACCGCTTTTAGCCCAATACAAAAAGTTGTCAACGAAAAAACAAAATATTATTTAAAACATGCACAAAAACTTTACACTTCTCCTTTTTACACCAACAAATGCCTCAACACAATGAGTAATTCTGAAAAAAATCATGGCAAATATTACGCTTCAAAAAGGCTGCAAAGAAGAGTTTAACAAAGTAATGTTGTAAATACACTGCAATACATATATCTGTCAAAAGAAATCAAAAAAAAGTTACTTCCAAACAAGAATCCGACCACAGCTTGCAATGAACCAAGACCGCTGGGCAATTTTGTTCATATAAAACAAATTCTAGAAACAAGGACCTTCAAAATAGCACCTGTGAAAAGACACGCGCCAAGCAATACGTTAAACAGGCTTTACTGCAAAGACTTAGACTGCAGACAACAAAAACTGTAAAAATCTGAAGGAAAACGAACATTTATAACGTATATAATGCATTACTAAACTACAGAGTCAGGTTAATTACCTTCAGAATTCTCAAAAAAAAAGGGTCTAAATCACTACGCAGAAAGATCACTGTTCAACGGCCTTGCTCTCTTGCCTCATTGGATCAGGAAGTGGAGGAGGAGTTGATAACTCAGCTATGATCACATCATCGTCTTCTAAAATAAGAACATCAAATACAACTTTGAATATAAAATGAAGATTAAAAGGGGAACAAGTAAAGACAGACCGATTCTTGGAAAGTTAACCGTAAAAGTATTACTACAAATCAATGTAAATTACCATCCAATATCTGAAGTCCAATAGTAGCCGGATCCTGAGCTCTGGCATTATCTTGTGAAAAACCACTTTCTAATAAGGTTTTTGAATCATCAAGTGTGTGCCACCTACCTTCTTCTGTCATACGTTTCAATACCATTTTACCGGGAGGTATCTGGAGAAAGAATTAAAAAATAATTTTTTAGTTAATACAGATGAAAACCCCTCACATTCACACTAAAATAAAATAATCTTAAGCCAGTACTTTCAGAATCCCTTCAATAATCTTCTTCAATTCTAAGATCGGTGCATTTTCTTTCGCATCACAAAAAATGTGGGTTTTCTTCCGCTGAATTTCAAAAAAAAGATCCTGTAACGCATTCAAAACTGATAGCAGTATAAAAGTTGATAAGAAAAAAGTGATAAAAAGGAACAAATATATAGTAAACAAAAACGCAGCTAGAAAAAAAAAAAAAAAGTAAAAAAAAATAGTTAATCGCAATAAGTTATCATAATGATGGGTCATCAGAATGAGATACTTTAGTTTAAAATTTTATAAAATCGAAGACAATGGAAAAGATATTTTGATTTAAAAAATGATAAAAACCTATTAAAACTAACCATTTTTTAGCCCAAATCTACCGTCATAGACGGTACAGTCAGAGTCGAAAGTGACTGCACCAGTTAATCAAGTGTACCGAATAATCAAGCTAAAAAAAAAAAAAAAGTAAGTTTTTTGGAAAGAGAAGCAATAAATAAATGTTATGACAGCCAATTACTGATGACAAAGTAAACCAACGGCATAACCTGCATTAAAGAAAAAAAAATCAAGACTACATTAAACAAAATCAACTGAAGACAGAACTCAACCGAGCAGCATTATCTCGGATGTCAACTGTACTCTGCGTTAGAGTCACCGTCCAAATTATATTAACACAAAAACATCGTTTTTGCGCTTGGCGCAAAGTCAAAAAAATTTATATATCGCTGAGAGGTGTGTTGTAGTCTGCTGTACCACTACCAAAATTGCTCTAAAAGCGAAAACATTTTCAGATGGCAACACGCCAATGTAGATCAATACTATATCTTACTGTAGTGCTATATAGCCCGAGCTTGAAATACTGAAGTTATAAATCGTTAGAGAAGTTGAAGATGAACAGTTGATGCAAAAATTGTGATATTTAACTGCAGGGCAGTTTGCTCTTTCTCTCAATTTATAGAGTGAAATTTCTCTGTTTTGGCAATCCCGCTCAAGATTTATAGTCAGAAACGTACACTTGTATAAGACAATTCATTCCGCCTTATAAATATGCCGTAAACCTTTCCTATCAGAAATTAAAAAGAAAAAATAAGAACGAAGCCTTTGTGGAGGTAAAGGATATGGCAGGCCGAAAAACACTGAAAAAATTTTTCTGTAGCAGTAATCGATTTAGAGGATTGATTCTTGCAAAAGCTACTGGGCTGAGGGAAGAGTAAACCGTGAAGCCGTTCAATATCCATAAGTCAAAATGTTTACATTCTTTATCTCGTCCACTTAATAGTTAATTCACAAATTGCATTTGGTGCCCTTCGAAACTAGCAAGTTCATATAAATTTTTTTCACCTTATTACAGATGTTGCATATATATGGTATAACAGATTTGCATCACGTTTAATGTTGTACCATCTAGTAATGCTACGGCCAAGTAAGTTGTTTGGAGCTAAAATCAACAGCAAAAGATTTCTGCTTATGTAAATTGGGTTTACAGTTACACTTTTTGACGTTAGTTGATACCTTAATTTTTGCAGCCACTTTTAACGACAAAGAAATACTGTTGATGATAACGGTATTCAGAAAGTGCAAAAAAAATCAGGGAACTAGTGAACAGAAGGGCTAAAAAAGTTAAAATAAGACAAATTTGTTGAAGTTCAACGGAATCAGGCTTTTCAAGCATCCAGGCGCATGGAAAACTTGATATGCTGAATGATATCAAAATGGTGTTCTCACAATACAGTTTTATTAAATTTTTGGTATATTTGTTCTTTTTCCTTTTGGATTTAACTATTTTTGTGCAAATTTAGCAACTTTACTTCTCAAGTCTTCAAATTTGGTTTTATATGGTTAAAAAGATGAAAAGTTCAGCCGATTGTAAAGTACACATGTAAAATTGCATAATCTCATGTTTTGATCTCTGATCTATCTCTACTTTAGGTATTCATTTGTATGAGGGTTGGGGTCAAAGAGGTGGGGAGCAGAAAAAATAAATCTCTATAAAACTATCACTTTAATTGTACAATGTATAGAATTTAGTAAAACTGTTGCATTTCATGCGGTTGTCACCCTTTGTAATACTCGTTGTTTCGTTGAACCAAAGATTACTCTCTGCATACGGTAAGACGTGAATTACTTATTAAAATAATTGTTAAAAGATTGTTAAGAAATGTCACAAAAAGCGGCTGTTGCAAAAATGATCATTTCGTTACTTCACCTGTTTTGGAAATCGAAAATAACATCTATCAAATTTGGTGACTGCAATAAATGTTCCTCACTGGATGACCCATATTGTTTAACATAATGCTATATTCGTTTGAAAATGATGTTGTGTTTCATTTGATCAAATCTGCAATTTCTTATCAGCATAAAAAAGTAACTGTGTTGTCGAATACACAGAATACCAACAAATGATTTACAATTATAAAGTGTTTGCGATTTTGAAAAAGAAATGCTACTTTAAGCATTTTTTATTAGGGTTAAGCTTAAGTAAGCTTTTAAAAGTCTTTAAAATTTTGACTTTTTTTTTTCCATTTTTTGGACAACTGAAGAATTTCTTCAGGTTTTCTTTTGCAGTTTATTTTTTCAGGAAAAAAATAAACTGTTGACTCGAAGTTTCTAAATTCTGTCTTACACCTGCTGAAAACATTTTATTTGAGCTAAAATGTTTCTGATCTTTAAGGCTGATAACTGAACAATAATTATATTCAGAACTTAAGAAGTCATGCGGAGAAAGCGCATACTTAATACACGATTCAGAACTAGGATATGATCGTTATTTCTGCTGGAAAATTAATATCGTATGTTTTCAATTAAACATTAATTTTTTTTACTAATAAGTAAATCGAGACTTTGCTGTAGTAATCAGTTTAAAAAAAAAAAAAAAAAACAACCATCGGACAGCGTTCTTATATTACTTATTACGGGGCACATTATCACATTATTTGAGACCGTTCTTAAATTGAAACAAAAAGTTATGAACCAAGTGTATGGCTTCATCTCAATAACAAAAAAGTGTAACAGTGAATTGTTGGTAAAAGCTTACGAGAAAGTAGATAAATAACATTTTGACAGTTATTAACTTTAGTCTTGTTTTCCAGTAAACATAATTTAAACAATAAATCTGTTAAGTAATTGTTTATCCATTGGCAGTTTGATGCCGACTACAAACGAAAGTTAGCGGATACTACGGAGCCAATGGGAAAATACAAATCCTATACTACTATGTCAACATTATGTCAGATATATGGAAGTCGGATAACATCGCTCGAGAATGAGAATGACGAAAAGTTGCTCAGAAGTGTGCATAAATAATTGACCTTGAAGTGTTGTTCTTTAATTCAGGAAAAGTGGCAAATTAACATTGTTCAGCTGTTTTTAAACACGTGTAATGGATTTTTTTCTTTCTTCTCTTTTTTTAAAGGCATGATAAGCAGAATAAAGTATATAAGAAAAGGTAGTAATAGCCGAGGTTTGCGTATTGCGCTTGGATTGCGCTTTGAACGTAACGAATTCATTTGGGATGACGTCACTGGCACAGATTACATTCGGCGACGATTTAACAGACTGAACATTACGTACACTGATGGACAATGTTTTGTTATGATAGAATATATTGGAAAGCAGTCGCGTTAGCTCTTATTACATAAAAAGATGTTTTTAAATTACTTAAACTTGTATCTGTTTTAAATTCGCTGCTTATTAGTTTGACTGCAAAAAAAAGTTTTTATGTATCATTTTCAGATCTTTTTGAGGCAGAAAGTTGTGAAGAATTACATGCCGATGTATTGGTTTGTGAAAGAGATACAACATTTGCTCAAGTGAACCCTTTAGCAGTAAGTTCCAGACACTTTTTACGCGCATTAATTTGTTCTTAGAGCAGGAAACAATTTTTAATTGTTCAACTTGACGAAAAAACTTTGATTATTATTATACAACAGATAGCTGCTAAACCAATTGGTAACAGCCACAAACAGAAGCAATCATTATTACCACAAACTTTTTTTCTGCTACACTTTATGACTGTTGTACAGATTTCTACTTTACTGTTTTTTTTTTTTTAGTTGTTCAATTTAAATACAAATTTTTTTTCAGTATTGAAGAATTTCAAACCAAATAAATGTTGATTAAAAACAATTCTCTGCGTAATAAAAAATGCAATACGGTAATACTAACGTTAATAATGAGATAAATGCAGTTATACAATATTCTTAGATGAATTTTTTAAGTCTATTTCTTGTATTTCTGTAAACCTTAAATATTCTGATACTCGACATATATACAGAGTGAAAGATCTGATCTAAACTTACTTCAACTTACTGCGCCACTGTTTTTCGTATCTTCTAAGCATAGAAATATGTGCCTATGTATAGTTTGAAAAAAAAAAAAACGAATAATGGTTGCCTTAAAAATAAAGTTGCGGTACAAATCTGCAGATAATCTGGTTTTTGTTAATTCGATAAGAGGCTATCGCAAAAAATGAGCATTTGTTAGGGCCATGAAAACAACTAGACTATAACTTTTGAAACAAAAAAAAATTTGACTTGGTTTACTCGGTAAAATTGTATAGCAGCTGAAATGAGTGGATGAAAGCCTTCATTGACATCAGTAGCAAGTCATAATTCCGGTGAGCAGCTTTGACTTATGCTTCTGTACTGACAAAAATTATTTAGAAATTAGGCGCAGAAAAAAGTCGAGGTATATTTGAAGATTTGACAGCAGGCAAGTTTCTCATATTTGTTTATTTATTCGCTGTTTGTAACAAATACAAACTTTGCTATAATGTAATAGTTTCGTAATGCAGGGGTAAGAAGTCTAAAGATATGGGAACAGAAATTTAGAATCTCAAAAGATACCTACGGACCAAAATGAGTTTTAGGAATGATGGCAGCATATGCCGCAACTGCTGTTGCAACAGCACTCGTTTTGTCACTTTCAACCGTAGTGTTGGTTAAAAACGGTATTCTATACTCCAGGTCTAATGGGATCCAAGACCATTATCAGCTTTACTAAAAAACCTACTCTCTTACTACACATACTGTCGTTTTGTTATTTACGTTGTCATCATTTCTTTTTTTTTTCTATAACTTTTTCTTTCAAATTGTAACTGTAATTACGGTGATGAATATAAAGGCAGATACAAAAGAAAAGTTTACGCTAATACAGCAACAGAAATGCGTCTTCTTTTGCCATCAAAGTCGTGGATTTTATAGTCAGGAGCCAATTATTTATACGGAATCAAATAGCTAATTTATAATCGTTCATCTGCTTGTTATCTTCAAACCGACATGTGTTCAAGAACAGAAATCTGCGGCGATACAATTGGTGTGCACATACCGGCCTGTGCACGTCAGATTGTACGCTGCTAACCACGACTAATTCGCTTAATGGAAGCAGAATTACACTCATTTTTAAAAGCAGCGCTGAAACAACAGTGGAAACTCTGTTACTGTTCTAATCTGTTTACACAAGTACGTAGAATTTTAAATCGATCACTGACTGGCGGTACTGTTTACCAGAAAGTTTATCTTCCTTGTAGAATTATATGGTCGTTCCTTCGTATTCGGTAATAGTAAGTCTATTATTGGTTAAAAAGTAAAGTTTGAAGCCATTAATGATCGAGCAACATCGACTCCTCCAAAACTTGCCAAGAAGAGCTGTCGTTATCACTTTCATCAGTTTCCCGCTTAGAAACGGTTTTAACTTAATGATGGAAGAAAAGAACGAATATCTCGAAAAATGGAAAGACATTTTAGAACTATACTTTTTTAGAAAAAACTTAAGTGTATAGTATAGTCACAATTAAAATAAACAGACGGATTTAGGCCCAATTTCTCTTTTGGAACTATCTGGCATTAAAATTCGGTATTCTACCACAGTTGAACCACCAACCTCCTGCTCAGAAATCTTTTTCCCCATTCGCTCCATCTCTTTTTCTGCATCGGTTTTCCAACCGGTGACTAGATTTTCCCATTCCTTTTCTGTTGTCGTTCAAAACTGAAACTTGAATGGGGGTTATTCAAGTAACAAGAAATTACTATAAAATGAAAAGCATTTCAAGCGTTAAACGAAAGCCGTTAATTTAAGGGAGGGAGGGGGTAAAAAAACGCTACTAAATAAACTACTGAGAAATGCTGTTGCCTGCTGGAGAAGTCAACAGTACCTCTAAATCAGTTAACGTAGCTGCAATCTCATCAAATGTTGGTCGTTTCTTAGAACTTCTACTTAGACAGCTGCGTATCAGGTGACTAGCTTTGTCAGGTAGCTCCTGTGGAGGTGGAAGATTAAGTTTTCTGAAAGAAAAATTAATTAAATTAAAGGTTCAACTTTTTTTTGAAGGGGGGGGGGGGAAGAAAGACAAAGCTAAATCAGGAAAAGACTGACTTTAAGAGAATTCCTCGAATACACGGGTGTTTCTTGATTTTTGCATAAGGCCTTACGTTTGGTTAAAGCTCCCAAATTAATACTCCAAAACTCCATACATCAACCTAAAATTTACCACTAAATTTTAAAACATGAGCAGCTAAATCGTAAGGTGCTTTTATAAATCTCAAGTCTGAATGCCAAAGTAAAAATGACATAATAACTGTTTACCACATTTTTTGCCCGAAATCAATTCGAAAGCCATGTAAGCGACTGTTCCGCAGAACCGTCATACTCGAAACATCTGATTCGCAAATCTGCAACATGCCAAAATCAGAAATTTTCAGAACGTCATTAACATCCATAAGAACACTAAACTGGAGATAGTTAACAACGTTCTGAACTTCTTCGTTAATAGGTGCATCATTGAGTTAGGCGTACTTTGCAGGCTTCAAATCACGATGAATAAATTTTTTCGAGTGCAGATAACTCATTCCTTCAGCAATCTGTTTGCTCCAATTGCAGATTGCCTTCGCTCTAATTCCCTGGTTACCGTGGATCAAATCTTTTAAAGATCCTTTTTTACAGTATTCAGTCAGTATCCAAACAGCTGTGTCCCGAATGCTAATGCCGCTGCAAGTTCAGTCTTCATAATAAGATGCTTACTACGTATTTGATTAGAATTCTCAAAAAAAAAAAAATAAAATAAAAATAACCCTTTCACGAAGAAAAAAATCTTTTTCAAAACATTCAGCTCAGAATTCATGCAAAATAGTTTAAGTTTTATGAGCGCCGCAAATAAGCGCACAGCTATTCCAACAGTATAAGTCTCGCATGCTATTATTTTAAAAATAATAACGCGACGAAACAGACAAAAAGCTTCGGTATCTTTTTGAATAAGCGCAAGTACCGTGTCGTTGATGAAGATCTCCACCAAAAAACCAATAAATTTCTACTTGCTGTTCATATGAAAGAAAAACATGAAAAAAATTATAGAGCAGGAGGGGGCATAAAAATTCAATATCTGCCAGATGCAAATAATCAATGGGTAAAATTTATAAAACAAAGTATGTATTAGTTACTGCATAAAACTTACAAATATTTTACTAGATTTGGATGCTCTAAGTGCACTAAGTTGGTGATGTACTTTCTCATTTTTCTTAAAACCTTCATGGCAACAATCTTTTTGTTGAATCCACCCTTATACACTGTACCCTCTCCTCCTTCACCAATTATGCTTTTGGAATCCAGTGATACCGATTCACGAGGAACTTCCGCTGAAAAAGTTATGTTCGTAGAAATCGAATAATGTATTAAGACATAGCAGAAATCGACTTTTTACTAGAATTTACGAAGCAGTTTTGTGGTAAAAAATTTAACGAAGCGAAAATCACGGGAAACTCCTGCTTGCGATGAAACTGAACCAGAGAATTACAGCACAAAATGAAACACAAATTCATGGTATTACTCAAATAGTTATAAATATTCAAAATGCGATAAATTAAGCGGCCCAAAACAACATGTTCCGAAGATTTTCAAGAATAAACTAACAAGCACTGACTATTAATTTCTTCCTTATACAAACACTTTTTTCGTGTCATACAATGTTATGGCTAAAGCAGTGTAAAATTTAAGAGAAACTACTGAGAAGCCTTACTTATTTCAGTTGACATCAGTCACAATTTTGCCTGTAAGCAGCTGGATTGATTTCTTACAATAATGCACCGTCGTCTAAGCAGAACCAAGGCTGACTGATAAATTGATGTTTTGCAAGTCCTACAATGCTCTCCTACAAAGGCAACATTTTGCATAACATCAAAAGGCATGTTTGCTACGTTTGTAAAGAATAATGGAAAAACTGATCCGACCATGCCCTACGGATGTAACAAAAACCGAATCTAGATGCGAAAAATGTAAATGTCTAAATAAAAGTTTATCAGTTTTTAAAGTCTGAAATCACTGCAGCACAAAAAACACCCTAAAAAATATCTCTGCATTAATTTACGAGCAGAAGATTTACCTCCGCTCAAATAAAATAAACTACTGAAAACTCTTAACACATGTCGAAGAAACTTCTGTTTCAAGCTAAAAATAAAAATATAATTTTAGAAACCTCACTTTTACTTTTGTAGGTAAAAAAGTTTCAAGAAAAAAAAAAACATGCGCGAATACAGTTTAGCGCCACAAAGCAAAATCGTTCTGCTTACCCGAGAATTCCAGCAAAACAGTGAAATATGGTAGTTCAAATGCATCCCCTATACCACATCAGAACGAAAATTGAAAAACTTGGAACACAAAGTCACTCAGCAACATCAGGAAAAATTCTTGGTTAACCTAACTCCATCCTCACAACTTACATTCACATCAGCGCCGTTCTCAAGTAAAGCCTTCACTGTCTCAAACAAACACCAGCGTCCAAAGAAGGGAAAGCAACTTTCCAAAACCGAAAATAAAGGTGTGGCCTGTAATAAAACTCCAAACTACTCTCGACCAGCTCAGCATCAAAAATGTTCTCAAATTCCCGAATCATAAATTTTATATAAACGCCTGCACATTGTCCTGTCCGCCCCTATTCCAAAACTCATCCTTTACGCCTCACCCCCAAAGAGTTTCTCTTAACGCTTCATTTCCTACACTTTTGCTTCACAACCCCTAATCGACAACCAGCATTGTCGAAAGATTTTAAAACAAAAGCCAAAGCTCACCCCGCTGTGGTTCGCAGCGTTCACATCGGCTCCCAGACTCACCAGAAAACTAATGAACTCTGTATTTCCGTTTCTGCAAGCGACGAGTAATGCTGTGTCCTAAAAAAAGAATAATGGTAAAAGTGAAGGTTTATAGGAAAGTGTCTTCATTATGCCATCCGCATCCCTCTTCGAATTCATCGCCCAGATCCCGTTTTTTCTTAACTCTTTTCGGGCTAAGTGTCATTCTTCATACAAGTACACCGCACCTCTCATTCTACAACTAGCATAGTCACGTGTTATGTGCTCGTGATTCGAAATAATTATACGCATTTTCGAGTGAAGGCCCGAAAACCAAACGATACGCCGATGGATTCATTCAGCTCCTAATTCTGGAGAACATACATAAGGTCGTTTACGAGGTACTGAGGCTTTAAAAATTGTTGCCCATGTGCTACGTGAAAAACCGAGAAAAATTTTTGAAGTACGACTTTCCGTGCGAGTTACAATACTAGGTTACTTTGAGGAAGTTTGGGTGCAGCAAATTCCACTTTTCCGCACCCATTCTACCTTCCCCTACCAATAATGTACTCATAGTACAGTTAGAAACTGGAATAAAAGCAGACTATTATTTTCATTTCTTCTGTACTCATCTGTAACATTATCCTGTTACGTTGCAATCTCCGGATTAACGTGAAAACAAAGAACTCATTATCAAAAAATTTGTGCATTGTCGAAAAATTTAAAAACAAGGGCGAAGGTTTACCCTCCAGTTGTTTACAGCGTTTACATCGGCTCCAAGTACCTAACCACCTCGACATTTCCGCTTTTGCAGGCGTAGTGTAACGCTGTTTCCTAAAAAAAAAATAATGGTAAACGTCAAGGTTTACATTAAAGTTCCTGTATTATGCCATCCGCATCTCTTTTCGAGTTCACCGCTCAGATCCCATTTTCTCTTAACTCTTCTTGATCTTGCCAATTTTGAGTGAAAGTTCATTCACCAAGCAAAACGCCGCCAGACTCAATCATTTCGTAATCTTAAAGAACATAACGTCACTTAGGAGAAACCCCAGCTTTAAAAATTCTTCCGTTTGTATTGGATTACGAATGGAGAAACTTTCTATAAATTGACCTTCCGTTCGAGTTACAATAACACCGCTGGTTTCGCGAACATGGGGTGTATTAAATTTTATCTCTGCGAACGCGTTCTGCTTCTCCTTTCTAACATTGCTCTCAAAATGTATCTGAGCGTGGAACATGTTTCCGTATTGTCTCCTTCTGTTTTCTCTTTTTTTTTTTTAGCTTTTCTTTTTCATTCTGAAATCCGGACTTTGGGGTAAGGGTGAGGGTTATTGGCAAAAAGTTTTTCCTCTGTGGAAATGTAGTGGGACTTTGTTCTTTAGAGTAGGAGGTTTTGCGGCTGAACTTTGTTTATTTTTGTGATACGCTAAAATTGTTTAAAGTAACTGTCACCTTGTCCTTTTTTTTTCGCGTTGACGTCAACCTCTTCTTTCATCATTGTTTTTATGGCTTTGTTTTCTTTTTTTGAGTTGCTTGAGATATCGCTTTGTATTGACCTGAGGTGACAGCTTGGATAGAGCTGAAAGAGAGAGTGTGTTTCGTTTGTATCAATTAATGTTATAGTAGTTCTGAGTTGATTTTGTTGAGGATGTGCCACAAAACTAAGGCAAAACCTCTAAATCTTGAGCATCTTTCGTCTTTAGAATCAATGATTTAACGGTTTATATTAAAAATGTTTGGCCAGACTAGATCATCTGATTTTTTTTGTCGTGCTGAATTTCTGCAGCTGCGAAACGTTTTTTGAGTAAGGTTTTTAAAATTTTTTAGCTTAAATCTTTTTTAACGTGCCCTTAATGTCGCTCAAGTATGTCTCAGGAACGGTTCGCTAATGTTGGCCCATAATTACTTAGGTTGGCTTTATACTCGATTTTTTAGTTATACCGTTATTGCTTTTATGCTTTAATGAGGCTTAAGGTCATAATACACTTTAGAAACCTCCCCAGATTGTAAAAAAGTCACTCGTGACCGGTAAAGGCGCAGCAGATATGCATTACTTAAAAAGGAGGGGAGTCGCAAAAAAAAAACCGTTGAAGATTTTGATAATTTTTGTGTGAAGGAGTACGTTGACGCGCAGTTTTTTAATGCAGAAGTGAGAATAACAGAAAGTTTTGGAACGTTTGGTTCATTCTTCTATTAAAACGAAAATTAATCATATGTTTTAGCCTGTTAAGATTCACTCAATTGTCCTCTAATATATAAATATAAATTTATATTTATGTATTCATATATATTTATGTTCATAATTTATATATTTATAATTTATAATGACTTTCACGGGAGAAGAATGGGGAAGAAACAATAGTATTCACCGTAGAGTTCTGAGGGCGTCAGTAAGTTCAAAAATCAGTCGTAACTGGATCGGTTCGTTGAATTCGGGGTAACGTTGTATTACACGTTCTTTCTGTCGTGCTAATTTTCGTCGTTATTTGTTCGCTGCAAAAAGAATTAAATTTTTTAACATTTAGGGCCAGCTAAGAAAGCGAACAGGGAGGATTTCTCTTTTTGACGTCGTCGGTTGGTGGAACGAAGTTAAATTTATAAATATTTTTTTTTATTGAATTTATACAATTCAAAAATTATTTAGTTTTATTATGAATATTGCAGGTTTTCCATATAGGGACTATGTAGAAGTCGAAATGAGAGGTTGATGACTAAGTGTCGTAGGAGATAGCTTCATTTATAGAGTCAATTTGAAGAACCATTTTGCGCATTACCGGGCATACTTTGCCAGGTTACTGATATAGTCTTATCGTCAACATTCCTGTTTAACGACTGTCATTGGGTTATATTTTATGCTCTTTACTTTCGATATTGGCTCTGTAATTCATAAACCATCGATGTGTAGTTTATAATTTAAACCTATTT